GTCTGCGGGAGGACGGCGAGCGGTGCGGCCGGGCGGCAGGCAACGCCAGCTTCAGCAAGAGGATCCAGAAGAGCATCTCGCAGAAGAAGGTGAAGATCGAGCTGGATAAGAGCGTAAGTGACGGGGGGACGGTCCTGCCTTGCCCGCCCCCTGGGGGCTCCGGGGGCGGTTCACACTGGGGCTGTTGGGCCGGCGATTCAGGGCGCCCTCAGACCTGTCAGCCAATGCACACCCGCGGTGGGGTCTCCGGTAGGAAGCAAACAACAAAGTCGCAACTCCGGCCGCCACTCCCGCAAGACACACACTTGCACGCTGTGCTCCCGCGCCCCCGCAGCCTCCCACACCCCGCCCCCCGCGTCCTTCCCGCTCCCTGCCTTCTCCCTTCCCCCTTCGCTGAGAGCTGGAAGCGAAACAAAGGGAAGCAGCGCTCGGAGGGAGGGCCTGGGGTAGTTTTCTTGCAGACCCGCTGCTCCTTTTGGAATGGAGGCGCCTTTGTTTTGCTGCCCGGAGCTGGCGTTTGGCCCCAGGGAGTAGGTTCCCGGGTCTCGGGAAAGTGGAATCCTGCAAGGACCTGACGCCGAGGTCGGGCAAGATCCCGCTTCCTGTCCCCCTGAGTACGCGGCGAGAGGGTGGCCGAGCACCCCCTGCTCTTTGCAGGGCGGCGGGCTTGGGGACGGTGGCGGCGGTGTCAGCCTCTGGGGCATCGGCTCCCAGCGTGGTGAGCACGTAGTCTCTGTGGCTTGGCGCTGCCATCAGGATTTCCTTTAACGTCCTTTCTGCGCGTCTGTTATTTTGACCATCTATGTCTATGAGACTTTTAGACACAACCATTGCCACTTTCCGGAGCTCTGGCAGGCAGTAAATTCAGAACATGAAGTCAGAATCTCGCATGCTTCCTGCTCATTTTTAACTTGCACCTAGCATTCAAGTTCATGTAAAAACCTGTTAGCTCAGTCCTTCATTGTTTGTTTGTTTGTGGGGTTTGTGTGGTTTTATTTTTAAAGAAGTAGCTGTTATTGTATGAAGCCCAGTATTTCACATGTTCGTATACAGCTCTCAAAAAACTATATGTAATTAACATCTTGGAAGGTTGGTATACCTTCTGCTTGTTTAAACAGTTCTTCCGTCATGTTCATGAGAAACTTTTTAGGTACACTTGAATAATTTCCCACCGCTTTGGTTGGGAAAACGTATTACAGGTAAATACATTTAATAATCAGGAAACTTTATCATTTCAAATCTAAATATAGTTAGAATGTGAAAATAAGTAGCTCATTTGTAAAAAGAAATAGTTTTATATTTGAAGTATTAAATTAGAAAGATTAGAAAGCATATGTTATGCTACTAACATATGCTCTTTAAATAGGGAAAATACTATCAAATAGCAAAATCGTGGGCTACATCATTATTCTCCTTGTTAGCAAAACATCATGATTTAACTCATCTAGTTCACCCTCACTGACAAAGTCTAGACTCAGGTTGAATTTCTCCTTCTTTTTTCCTCCCTTAGGGTCATCCCTCCCCACCCCACTTCCCAAGCTTCTTAACAGTGTTGCCAGACATGCATGTTTTAACTGTGTGTAGGACGTTAGAAAGAAAATTCCCTTAACAATGCCGTTTTGACTGTTGTTTTTTAGATGATTCACTGTGGTCTATGTATTTTACTGTAATTCTAAGTAGTATGTGAAACTTTTCTGTTTCAGGTAAGGCATCTTTACATTTGTGATTATCATAAAAATTTAATTCAGAGTGTTCGAAACAGAAGAAAGAGAAAAGGGAGTGATGATGATGGAGGAGATTCACCAGTTCAAGATATTGATACTCCAGAGGTAGAGAAAAGTTTTTACATGTTAAATGTAAATCCTACGTAGTCCATTCTAAAACTTTTATAAAAAAATATGAACACATTTGAAAAATGCTTAAAACATTTGAAAAATCTGGAAATGAAAGCAAAATTAAATATAGCCAGTTAACACACAGTTACACAATTTGACTTGTTATATTTTTAATTGTCAATTCTTATAGTTCTATTGTCTTACTTTTCCCCCTAAACAGTTTTTAATATTTATCCTCAAAATGTTTATTACATTTATAGATTTGATTCTATAAAATAATAGAATAAAAATTTTATTGTGCTGTAATTGAAATGTTATTACACATACCAAAGATAAGTTTTTAATAAATTGCTTGAACTAATTCATATATGTTAATTTTTTCTAGGTTGATTTATACCAATTACAAGTAAATACACTTAGGAGATACAAAAGACACTTCAAACTACCAACCAGACCAGGACTTAATAAAGCACAACTTGTTGAGGTATTTATGAATTTTAAACTATTTAAAACTTTAAAGGACTCTGTTCATACAAAAAAGAGTTATTAAATGCTAATGAAATTGTTAACAGGTATATAAAACTACAGTATTTTAGTTAGAAAGATCAAAGTTAACTTTTTAAAAATCTATTGTGGAAGAATCTAGTTACCTAGAAATTTTGTCTGCCTCTTAACAAATTTCTTTACGTAATGACTACTCAATGACTTGTATATAATTTTCTAAGTATCTTCTAATAATAGGTTTCTGAAATATTAAGTGATATTTTTTCTTCTTATTCTAGAAATTTATTTTAAAATTTCATTTACTCAGCAAATATTTATTGAACATCTAATTGAGGAATAATAAAATAAATTAATAAACTTTGATGTCTTTATCAGATTTTTTTTAAGTTTCTGATGAAATAGTTCTACAGATAAGCTCCTAAACAGTATTTCCATAACTTTCTGATTTACCTATTTCAGAATTTGCCCTTGTTAATGTTAGTTTGTTTTATTTTAGACATCCATGTTTTCTTTTCTTTAAATATATTTTTATTGATATATTTTTATTTCAGAGAGGAAGGGAGAGGGAGAGAGAGATCGAAGCATCAATGATGAGAGAGAATCACGCCTCCTACTAGGGATCAAGCCCACAACCTGGGCATGTGCCCTGACTGGAAATCGAACCATGACCTCCTGGTTCATATGTCAACACTCAACCACTGAGCCATGCCAGCAGAGCTTTTCTTTAAAAAAAAAAAATCTTTTTATTGGTCTTTAGAGAGAGGAAGGGGCAGGGAGAGAGAGAAAGAAACAGATTGGTTGCCTTCTGTACACACTCAGACCAGGAATTGAACCTGTAACTTATCCGTTACTGAATCAGCGTCCTTTTAGTGAATGGGGCTAGGCACCCATGTTTTCTTCACATCTAGAAGATGCAAAGATGTGTCCAAGCTTTTACTTAAATAGTTTGTTTTGATGTAGGGGTTCTAGTCCTTTAGTGAATTTTGAAAAGTTGAGTGCATGTGTGTGTGTTTATGTGTGTGTGTTCTCAGGAAAAATAGAACCAAGAAGTCTGTACTTCTATTGGTAGTCTAAGTATTATATTAAGATGTTTATTGATTTACATATTTATACTTTAATTATATTTAAACTAAAAATGTTAATCTAGGCAGAATAAAAATATAAATATATAAATCATTTTTCTCATATTCTTTATTTTGAATTTAATAATCCAACATTTTCTAAAATGTGCATATTGAAGAAGATAAAGGATGAATAGCAGTTACAGCTGTTTGGCAGAATGAAATGCTTTTTAACATTGTTAAGATCCAATATATTAATTTCTTAGCCAGAATTTTTTCTTTCTTCTTGGCTAGGCAACAAAAATCAAGTTGTCTTTAAATTTGATTTAAAATATCTAGTCTGTTTGGATTATATAGCACATTAGTATAACATAAATATAGGTATTATCTTCCATGATGAAACGATATCAAAATTACATATACTAATCAAGTGGAAGTACTTTGTTTTAGGACAGATCAGAACCAAAGAAATAATTATTTTAAATGTCTAAACCAAACCTGAAGTTTTTGATAATCTAATCTAGAAAATTACTTTTTTTCCTAGAGCTTTTTTTTTTAAAATGAGAAATACCCATAATCCAGATAGCCATGAGTGTAGCCCTTGCCAGGTAGCCCAGTTAGTTAGATCATTGTACACCAAGGTTGTGGGTTTGATCCCCAGCCAGGGCATATAAAAGAATCAGCCAATGAATGTATAAATGAGTAGAACAACAAATCTCCCTCTCCCTTTCTCTTTCTCTCTTCCTCTCTCTAAACTCAATAAATAAACAAATAAACAAATAGCCTATTAATGTTGTAGTTTATTTAGTCAGAAATATAGGTATTTATAAGTGATTCCAGAATTGAATAACGATCCTCCTTAAGTCTCTTACTTATCATTTGATAACCTTTCTTTAAGAAGTTTTATCTTCCAGAATCTAGATATACTCTTGAGCATCCCAGTTCAGTTAACTGTACTTCTTTCTATTGGTAGTTGCAGTGCACATGTTAGATTAGTGAAAAAGGAAGAAATCAGGAAAACATTCTTCAGTGAACATCCCTTTTTTCCCTATCATTTTCCATTTGTAATTTTTATTCAGAAAATTTTTCAAGACGCCTTAACAAAGAATATTGCCAATGAATGAATGAACATAATTTGTAACAAACATATTTGTATCATATTTCATGGTTTGTTTCTATAGTACCAAACTTTCAACTTCATATTTATTATTTTTCTATGAATAGGGCCTAAACCATTACATGATACGTGTGGACTCTTACATTCTGTTTTATTTCATTGACATTTAAAGTTTAAAAAGTAAAAGTACTGCTTTCTAACCTAGATTCCAGTTATAAAATTAAAAATAAATAAAAGTAAATATATATTCTATTTAATTAATTGAGTAGGCTGAAGGGTCCTTTGAAATCACACTGTCTCTTGTTCACAACATCTTATTCTTATATGCTCTTTGTCCTGTTGGTATTTTGTTGAATACAGTTTATTTTTAAATGGAAATAGCTCTTATCACATAGTACTTTTTCTTTTGTTGAAAGTGTTTTTTACCTAGTTTATGAAATCTGTTAATACCTATAATTTAATTTCCTCAATTTTTTTTTCTTCATAGATAGTTGGTTGCCACTTTAGGTCTATTCCAGTGAATGAAAAAGACACCTTAACATATTTCATCTATTCAGTGAAGAATGACAAGAACAAATCAGATGTCAAGGTTGATAGTGGCATTCACTAGGAGAGATGGAATTGAGACAGGCTTGGATATGCAGATGTTAAGACTGTTTACTGTTTTTCACATGGAGAAATAAATGTTCCTGTGTATTTTTTCTACAGAGGATTTTCTCTGGTTTTATTTTCTTTGTTTCTGACTCTAATAATTAGTTGGAAACTCATGTAAAGAAGCTTTCCTAGATTAACAAGTATTTTAAATAAAAGTATTACTATTATAGTTGCTTCAGTGTATTTATTTTGTGAAACTTGATTTCTATTTTAAACTGACTTTCAGGGATCTGTATTAATTGAGACTTTAATATAAAAATCATTTTATTACCCCTTTTTCCTCCCCCCCTTTTTTTAATTCCAGGAAATTAACAGATTAAGGGACGATCTGATTTGGAATTAAGGATATTCTAAGTATCCTAAAAGTGCTTTTTAGTGCTAAGAAGTTTAAAAAATAGAATTCCATTGGGATGCAACTTCTTTTTTACTTCCTTTTTTATTATTGTTTCTTGATGAAGTATCAGGAAGAAAAAAACAGTTTAATTTAATGCCTACCTCCTTCCAAAGTAAACTTAATATGCCAGCAAAGGCATGCACAGTGTGAAAGTTCAAATAAGAACACAGAATTAGTTATAGCTGTTCCTTTAAATTTTGTCTTACAGGAAAGGTATTTATATTCCATGAATATAGAATGAACCTTTGCAATACCCATTAATTTTCAGTCATGTCCTGTACTATTTACATTGCAAATGACAAGTTTAACAAGATCTTTAAATTTGGTCATGCATAGCTGTGGTTTGATTTATATTTTATTTTCTTTTATATTTCACTCTGTCGATTTTCTATTGAATATTTTTAACCTCTTCTTCCTGAGATTGTATTGCTTACCCAAGGTCTTATAATTACAAATCAAATTTACATCTTGTACATTAAAACAAAACAGCTTCAGTGAAGAATTTTGAGATGGTGATGTAGATTTTAGGCTGGAAATAGATGAGACCAGTAATGTAGCTCAGGGTCTCTCAAACTTGACATTTGGGTCTGATAAGTCCTTACTGTGAGAGACTGACCTGTGTGTTATAGATTTAGCAGCATCATTGGAGTCCACACACTAGTGCCAGTAGCACTCTGAAGATGTCACAACCAAAAATATCTGTCAACATTGCCAAACATTCCTTGAGGGGCAAAGTCAGCCTGGTTAAGAACCACTGATGTAGCTAAATTTAAAGTACTGGTTCATTAGAAGGTGAGTCTATATTTTTAGTGTTCTCAATGTATTAACAGCTAGAAAACATGGTGAGCAACAAAGCCATTGGTCTTTCTTTTTGCTATGACTAAAGATTTACTTGTTTTTTCATTGATGAGCAGAGGCTGTGATCATTAGTATTATAGTAGAATCCTCTCATACAGGGTATCCCCAAAAAATGTATGCACACTGTGAATGATCTTATTTTCCAATGGGTTAAATCTGAAGAGAAAGAAACAGAATTTGAGCTATCAGCTTTAAGTGTGTGTACATTTTTTGGGGACACTATCTCACATTCCAGAAATCTCTGTGAGAACTTTTTTCTTAGCTATATGAAAATGAACCACATAGCAACAAGATATGTTGGTTTATTTAAATAAAGTATTCCAAAATTTTTCAGTTAATATTTAATTTTAATAATACTTGTCATATTTGAATAGTCAGCAATGCACAAAGAAAATTATCTTCAGAGGATGTTTGCCCACAGTATGAACACATGCTTTAAATATGCAGTGGAGGACAAGGGGTGAATTCACAGTTAACAGAGTTGAAAAAAAAACATCCTTTGTTATAATCTACACAAAGCATATAAAAATATTTCTCTGAATGCATAGATTAAGACTTTAGACCAGTGATGGCGAACCTTTTGAGCTCGGCGTGTCAGCATTTTGAAAAACTAACTTAACTCTGGTGCCGTGTGACATATAGAAATTTTTTGATATTTGCAACCATAGTAAAACAAAGACTTATTTTTTTATATTTATTTTATATATTTAAATGCCATTTAACAAAGAAAAATCAAAACAATGAGTTTGCGTGTCACCTCTGACACGCGTGTCATAGGTTCGCCATCACTGTTTTAGACTCATCAGGAACTGTGCAGACTTATTCTACAGCCATATATAGAGGTCACTGGGCCACAGAGGACTTTATACAGAAGAGACCCGTGTAGGGCCCAAGAATCACCTGAGACGCCAAGCCCCTGGCTCCCTCTGTTCCTAAGCCCTGGAAATGCCTGGAGCTGCTCCTCTGTAGGACACCCCCCAGCCACGGCCTCTACTGCTCCTGAATCTCTAACTGATCTGGATGGCTGGAAGTTTTAACCCCAGTGATTTAGACATGAGTTAATACTGAATTTATTTCTTTCAGGATAGATCTTATCATTAAACTTTTTTGAAAGGAAAGGGGGGAAATGTTAGTATGTCTAGATAAACTAGCTTCTAATTGGTTGGAACACAAGGGAGTTTTCTTATTTAAAGTATTTTTACCTTAACCTGCAAAGATTTAATTTAAAAATACATATTTTATTGATTTTTTTAGGAAGGGAGAGAGAAACATTGATGAGAGAGCATAGCACCAATCAACTGCCTCCTGCACGCCCCCTACCGGGGATAGAGCCGGCAACTTGGGGATGAACCTTGATTGGGAATCAAACTGGCAACCTTTTGGTGCATGGGATGATGCCCAACCAACTGAGCAACACCAGCCAGGGAAAGACTTAATTTTTTAATAAAAACTTGACTGTTGACTTAATTTTTCCTATAAAACACACTCCATTCTTGTGAAAAAAAGTTTGTATTTATTTACTGACATTAAAGTGTCTAGGAATATAACCTTAGACTACCAATGTTCTTTTTATATAGCTGATTATTTAAATAAAATGTAGTTGGCTAAAGAGTCAATAAGAGTTCTGGGTGTTGATTACCCCCAGAAATTAAATTCTTGTTAGAATAATCCTATATAATAAAACCCTAATATGCAAATCAACCGAACAGCGGAACAACCGGTCGCTATGATGCGCACTGACCACCAGGGGAGCTGCAGTTCAAGGACAGGGCCAGCCAGCAGGGCAGTGCCAGGCTGCCAGCCAAGGCAGGTGCCAGAGGGGGCCCCCGATTGCCCCACCCGCTGGTCACCCCACAGATGGGCCTGATCGCCAGCCAAGCCTACAGACCCTAACCTATATATTGGGAACAGTCTCTAAGATTTAACAATTAAAACCTGGAAGGCTACTCTAACACTGAAAAAACAGGATGATTCAGCGATGACATGCATGGACTCTGGCTTGCACATTTTGTGGTCAGCCCTAATTCTGACACTTATAACTGTGACAAAACCAATTACTTAATTTATCTCTGCTTCAGTTTTCCCACCCATAAGATGAGGAAAATGGTACTACTGCCTCAGAAGGATCATGTTATGTACTACTTTTCATAATCAGGGCAAAAAACTGTAGCTGCCCATACAACAGCAAATGCCTTTCACCTGTATGAAAAGTAAGGTCACTGATGCACGCAGCATCCCAGATTGTGAGAGGGATGTCTGACTGCTGGTTTAGGCCTGACATCCCCAGAGGGATCCTGGATTGAAAGAGGATGCAGGCTGGGCTGAAAGAACCCCCTCTGTGTAAGAATTTCGTGTACCAGGCCTCTAGTTTAAAACATAAAAATTGAGAACTTAAGAACCTCCTCAAAGCTGAGGAACTCAAGAAACTGCAATATAAACATCAATTTTATCTAAAATTCTAAATTCTTTGCTGTTGGGTTTAACAATTGTGAATTCACTAGAAATCTATATCAACACAAAAATTCAATGCAAACTCATCTCTATAAGTAAGGGTACAAGTTACTTTTAATGTTAGAGCATCAGAAGAAAGACTTCCTTTAGGACAAAAGAAAGAAAACAATTAGTATCAGGGGTTTAAGAAATGAGTAAGTTATTTAGTAACTATCTTTTATGGAACAATTTAGGAAAAAGCTAAAAATTAGTACCTGAAATATATTTAAGAAAACAAGCTCTATTATTTTTACACTAGAGGCCCAGTGCACAAATTTGTGCATGGGTGGGGTCCCTTGGCCTGGCTGGTGATTGGGGGGCCAATTAGGGCTGGCCTGCCCAGGGGAGGGACCACAGGAGGTTGGCCGGCTGTGGGAGGTTGGTTGTGGGAGTGCACTGACCACCAAGGGGCAGCTCCTGCATTGAGCATCTGCCCCCTGATGGCCAGTGTGTCGTCATAGTGGTGGTCAACTAGTCGTTCAGCTGCTCATAATGGTTGCTTAGGCTTATAGATATAGAGATAGATAAGGCCTTTTTAACTGAGGTAACATTTATATAATAGACACTTAACCATTTTTTTCCTAAATATATTTTATTGATATTTTACAGAGAGGAAGGGAGAGGGACAGAGAGTTAGAAACATTGATGAGAGAGAAACATCGATCAGCTGCCTCCTGCACACCCGCTACTGGGGATGTGCCCGCAACCAAGGTACATGCTCTTGACCGGAATCGAACCTGAGACGCTTGAGTCCAAAGGCTGATGCTCTATCCACTGAGCCAAACTGTCAGGGCCACTTAACCATTTTTGAAGTATACAATTCAGTCATTTTCTGGACTATAAAAGGATGTTTATATAGTGAATAACCTTGAAATGCATTTGACTCTTAAACAACAGATAGCTTAGGGGAACCAACCCTCCTCATGGTTGAAAATCCACATATAACTTTTGACTCTAAATCCTTAACTTAGCCTACTGTTGACCAGAAACCATACTGATAGCACAGGTGATTAACACATTTTGTATGTTATATGTATTATATACTGTATTCTTATAATAAAGTAAGCGAGAGAATACATGTTATTAAGAAAATCATAAGAAAATACATTCACAGTATTTATTAAAAATATATTGTACAAGTGGACCTACCCAGTTTAAAACCATGTTGTTCAAGAGTTTACTGTATATGTCCTTTTGTGTGTAGGTTTTCACTAACTAGTATGTGATACTGGTGTAAACAAACCTACTGTGCAGCTAGTCACTAAAAATATAGCACAAACAATTGTGTAAAGTACGTACTTGATAATGATAACCAAGGGTGGTTCAAAAGTAGGTTTACAATTGTGAATATGCAAAACTAAGTTTATTCTTGCATTAGTATTTATTAATTATTGCATTATTTTCCATATAAACATCTGTAAACCTAC